AAAAAAAAAAAAAAAAAAAAAAAATCAGAATCCAAGACTTGTCCAGAGTCACATAGCTACTGCTCATTAGAGGAGTGACTGGGATCTAAAGTGCTTCTGGGACTCCTAGAAGGAAAACTACTCCAAAGGTCTTTATTTTCATTTCTGATAGCACTAGATGGAGGGGTGATTTAAATGTTTGTAATTATAAAATTCTCACTAGGCTTTTGAATTTAAGCATACTTGTATCACTGCTTTTATTCCCCTAGGAAACTTTCCTACTTAATGGTTGGGAACCTGTCACTTAAAATCCTAGGGAATAGTAATGAGTAAGAGGTGAATACAAGTGATCGTGAGCCCTTTCAGGGTTGGCTTTGAACTACAGGTTGATTGATGATATGGAAGCTGAGATGGCTTAGCTTGTTTTGAGGAATGTAGATGTTATCAGACAATATATATTTGAAATCTATCATTGAGGCTTACTACTTGGGAAGTACCAGTCCACTACCTACTGCTTAAAAGACAAGGGAAAGTCATATGAACAACACCTGCCCTTTGGGAGAGGCACACATGCCACAGTTGATCAAGGCAGCATGGAGTTCTTAAACAGCCTGGGCCTCTGTGACCTGCCTATAAGGACTTCTAGCAGCATTCCTACCTACCTTTTTATTATAAAGCAATTTCCAAACCAAAGAATAAGATGAACACTCAAACACCCATTGCCCAGACTTAACAACTGTTTACTATATTTATTTCGTCTGTTTATTTTTTGCTGAAGTTTAAAGGAAATTCATGAAATTTTACTCATAAATATTTGAGTATGCATCTCTTTAAAAGAGGACAATTCTGTGGGACTAGGTATGAAAGGAAAAAAGCAAAGAGGACATTTTATCATAACCATAATACCTTTATCATGCACAACAAGATTAATAGTTATTATTTATTTATTTATTTAGAGACAGAATCTTGCTCTGTTGCCCAGGCTGGAGTACAATGGCATGATCTCAACTCACTGCAACCTCCACCTCCTAGGTTCAAGCGACTCTCCTGCCTCAGCCTCCTGAGTAGCTGGGATTACAGGCATGAACCACCACATCCAGCTAATTTTCATATTTTTAGTAGAGATGGGGTTTTTACCGTGTTGGCTTGGCGGCTCTCAAATTTCTGACCCCAGGTGATCCACCTGCCTCAGCCTCCCAAAGTGCTGGGTTTACAGGCATGAGCCACCGTGCCTGGACAGTAATTTTTTAATATCACCTAGTCCACGTTTATATTTTCCCAATTGTCCAAAAAACATTTTTTAGAATGAGTTTGTTCAACCCAGGAATTAATCAAGGTCTATGCTATTCTCAGTTGTATGTCTCTTAAGCTTCCTTTAATCCAGTACAGCCCTCCTTCCCCTTTTTTATTACTTGATATATTGATTGGTAAAAACAGTAACGTATAAGATTGGTTATCCTGGGCCCGGTGTGGTGGCTCACGCCTGTAATCCCAACACCTTGGGAGGCTGAGGCAGGCAGATCAGTTCAAGGTCAGCCTGGCCAACATGGCGAAACCCTGTCTCTACTAAAAATACAAAAATTAGCCAGGCATGGTAGTGCGCACCTGTAGTCCAGCTACTCCGGAGGCTGAGGCACGAGAATCGCTTGAACCCGGGGGGTGGAGGTTGCAGTAAGCCAAGACTGCACCATTGCACTCCAGGCTGGGCAACAGAGTGAGACCCTATCTATAAGAAAAAAGAAGGTTATCCTATAAAATGCTCCATTTTCTAGATTTGTATATTTTTCTTCCCCTTGTGATTTTGTCTAACTTGTTCCTTTAGCCTTTCAACTTCCTATAAACTTGACTTTAGATTTAAAGAGTTGAATAGATTCAAGTTAAATATTTTGGCCAGAATAATCCATAGGTGATGTGGAGTATGAGGTTTAATTGTGTAACAGTACATGTAAACAGGACAGTTTCATTGTCATAACCAAGGCATTGGTACACCAGCATGCTTAGTGAAGCCTGACATCAGTGACAGTGGATGGAGATGATCTGCCCACATGGAAATGGAAAATAAATCACGTCGTTTCTCTAGGATTCAACTCAGTTTCCTTATTTTATTTATTTATTTATTTATTTATTTATTTAGAGGTGGAGTCTTGCTCTGTCATCCAGGCTGGAGTGCAGTGGTGCAGTCTCAGCCCACTGCAACCGTCGCCTCCCAGGTTCATGTGATTCTTCTGCCTCAGCCTCCAAGTAGCTGGGATTACAGGTGCCTGCCACCATGTCCAGCTAATTTTTGTCTTTTTTTAGTAGAGACAGAGTTTCACCATGTTGGCCAGATTGGCCTTGAACTCCTGACCTCAAGTGATCCACCTACCTCAGCCTCCCAAAGTGCTGGGATTATAGGCATGAGCCACCTCGCCCAGCCAGTTCCCTTACTTTAAAGGGAATAATTGACTTAGGTTATTTTGAAGGTCTCAAGTTTCAGATCTCATGATTCTATAAATTATACCAAGATCAGGAGAGGGTTATGCAGAGAAAAGCTGAGACAAATGGAAAACATTAAAGACTAAATCTTAGGCAAGAAGAGACAGTAATTAGATGAAGTTGGATTATAGCCATTCCCAAGTGGTGCCACTTTCCCAGCAAAATCTAACAGAATAGTTGTCAGTTTTGGTTCTTGAAATTGTAAAGAGTTTTATTTTGCACACAACATAGAGAGACCTATATAAGTTGTGTGTTGGTCTTTTCCATTTATTTTGTGCCCCTCTTAGCAAATGCTTCTCAACGTGATCCATTCAGATTTTTTTTTCTGACCGACCTGATTGAAAAGACTAAAGCAATATTCATCAAAGTGTCTTCAGGCCACTAACATGAGAATCACATAGGGTTACTTGAAGTGTTAAAATATAAATTTCTAGAGTCTCTGTCTAGAACTCTAGAATCAGAATCTCTGGGAGTGGGCCACTGAAACCCACATTTTAACAACTACTCATGGTATTCTGATGCACACCACAGTTTGGCCTGTAGCAGTGGGTGGCTTGAAGGGCCATAGCTCGAGGTGCCAAGTTGGGGTAGTGCCTATAAGTCTTGCAACACTTTGAGTCCTCCTCTATTTCTTCTGTCCTCCTACAGTGCACCGAGCAGCCCTGGCCTGCGGCAGTGAGTTCTTTGGGGCCATGCTCCTCAGCGGGATGAGGGAATCCAAGGGCACAGAGGTGTCTCTGCGGACCATCTCCACCCGGGACCTGCGACTCCTGGTCTCTTTTGCTTACTCTGGAGTTGTGCGGGCAAGGTGGCCAGGACTCCTGAGAGCTGCTCAGGCTGCTCTGCAGTACCAGAGCTCTTCCTGCCTGGATTTGTGTCAGAAAGGCTTGGCACAGGGCCTCAGCCCCGCCCGTTGCCTGGCCCTGTTCCCCATGGCGGAAGCCCCTGGGTTGGAGAGGCTCTGGAGCAAAGCCCGTCACTACCTCCTCACCCACCTGCCTGCTGTAGCCTTGTGCCGTGCTTTCCCTTCTTTACCAGCTGCCTGCTTGGCTGAGCTTCTGGATAGTGATGAGCTTCATGTGCAGGAGGAGTTCGAGGCCTTTGTGGCTGCACGGTGTTGGCTAGCTGCCAACCCCGAGACCCAAGAGTCAGAGGCCAAGGCCCTGCTGCAATGCGTCCGCTTTGGCCGCATGTCCACCAGGGAGCTGCGAAGGGTGCGGGCAGCCGGGCTACCTCCACCCCTGACCCCAGATCTGTTGCACCAGCTGATGGTACAGGCTGATGTTCCAGGCCAAGAGAGACGGAGGGAGCCTGACCAGGCACTGGTAGTGATTGGCGGGGATGGGCTGAGACCAGACATGGCCCTAAGACAACCATCCCAAGCAGTGTGGTGGGCCCGAGCCTTCCGCTGTGGCATCGGACTTGTACGAACTGTGGAGTGGGGACAGCTGCCTGCCCTGCCTGCCCCAGGACGCTTCCGGCATGGGGCCGCGAGCCTGGCAGGACGTGAACTCTATGTGTGTGGGGGACAAGATTTCTACAGTCACTCCAACACCCTGGCTTCAACTCTCAGGTACGAGCTTCTAAGAGTGGGCAGGATGTGGTAGGCCCCAAGGTGGGCAGGGAGAGAAATTGCTGGCCTAGCCAACCACACAGAGTCACTCTTCTTGCCTACGTCCAGGTGGGAGCCCAATCAAGAGGACTGGGAGGAAATGGCTCCTTTGTCCCAGGCTCGAAGCTTTTTCCCCTTGGTGGCACTGGATGGACAACTTTATGCCCTAGGTGGAAGACAAAATGGTGTTGCCCTGGACTCTGTGGAGACCTACAACCCTGAGCTCGATGTCTGGAGGTGAGCAGGCAAGGGAGAGATTAGGAGACTTGGAATAGAAGGAGAGTTGAAGATGCTAGTTGCCTTATCTTGTCCTGTTTTCCCTTAGGCCAGCACCTGCACTTCCAGCACCATGTTTTGCCCATGCAGCTGCCATTTTGGAGGGCCGATTGTATGTGAGCGGTGGCTGTGGTGGGAGTGGCCAATACCTGGCCTCACTGCTGCACTACGACCCCAAACTTGAGAAGCCAGGGACATTTCTGAGCCCTATGGGGGTACCTCGGGCTGGCCATGTCATGGCTGCACTGGGTGGGCGGTTGTATGTGGCAGGTGGGCTGGGTGAGACTGGGGACCTGCTGAGTTTTGAGGCCTATGAACTAAGGACTGATAGCTGGACTCACCTGGCACCTCTACCTTCCCCCCATGTGGGGGCTGCAGGTGCTGTGCTGCAGGGGGAGCTGCTGGTGCTGGGGGGCTACAGTCACCGTACTTATGCCCTCTCCCACCTTATCCATGCCTACTCTCCCGGCCTGGGCCGATGGCTTTGCCTGGGAACTCTGCCAAGGCCCCGGGCTGAGATGCCTGCCTGCATCCTGACACTGCCCACTGTGCAGCACACAGCTTTGGTTCCCACCCCGCACCAAACCAAGCCTGCCGGGTGAAGAGGGAGCAACAGTGTATGGGGGAGGAAGGCGTAAGAAATCATCTGGGAGAAGGACAGAGATTATGGGAGAGAAAGGAAGGTTTTATTCTTGGCAGTAGTTTATTCTCATGCTGTGCATTGTAAACTGCTTTTGTACGTTTGATCTCCATTGAGGAAATGGTGGTTCCAGAACTCCCGGGGAAAGCATACTGGGGAAGGGGAGGCAGCTGAATATTCCGGTAAGGAAAGGAGAGCCAGGAGCAAATCCACAAGGCTGAGGGATTCTTGGGAGGGAAAGTGCATCTGGTTGGAAAGAGAGTTAAGAAGCTTCAGTAGTCAAAGTGTAGAGATCATGAGAGGACAGTTGGGTAAATGGTTCTGACCCATGGATCAAGGGAAAAATGCAGAATGGCCATCCATGAAAGAGTTTGAGGAGTGTGGGAGGAAGGACTGTAAATCATTCAGCGCTTTTTTTCCCCAGAACTTGCTCCTTTCTCCTCTCCCATCCCTGGGATGCCTAACCCTTCTTAACAATATTCTTTCTCAGGTAATTTTGTAGCCCTGGTCTAGTGTTTCCTAGCGGAGACACCACAGGCCGCCCCTGAGAGCCTCTTGGTTTCCTTCTGAGGCAAAAGCTCCCACCTGGACATAGATGGCACAGCAGCCTGAGAGGCCTGATGGGTCCTCCAGGGCCACGCGACAGGAGTGGTGTGTGGGGAAGATGAGGGGGGCAGAGAACAAGGGAGGAGAGACCCACAGCGGAAAACATGATCTGAGATTTGAGGAGATGGGATGGAAGAAGTCAGAATGCTGTCTGGCTTCTTGCTTTCCCTTTGGGCAATTTGAGGAATCAGGAGTGAAAACGAGACCATTGTTGTGTGAGATCTCAAGTGGTGAGAGGATGTGGCAGAGAGAAGAGTGAGAAGCAGACAAGACTCAGGAAAGTCATTTCCCCCTTTCAGTCCCTTTTCCCCCAAGTTATTTTTAAATTCATTTCCCTTTTTCTTGGCCAGGGAAGGTGGTCAGATGCATCCTCTTTCTCTCTTCCTCCATCTTGCTCTCCCCACTATCCCTCTTTTTTTTTTTCTTTCTTTCTCCCTCACACAGTTATTAATCACCTACTTTGTGGCAGGCACTGTAGGAGGCATCAAGGATACAGAGGTCACAGAGCCCCTGACCAGCAGATAGACGTAAACAAATACAAGTTTTGAGTGGACTTAGACGTATGGACAAGTCTTGTGAGAGCCCAGAGGATGGAGCAGGGAACTCTGCCCAGAAGGGCTTCTGTTAGGGAAGGTGTCATCCGATGAGTGTATTTTGAACTGGATCTTAAAGGCTGCCTGAAGTCTCAGAAGGGGAAATGCATTTGAAACACAGAGAAGTGAGGCATGCCGTACCCTGTTTCTCCATAGCAAAGGGGAAGTTGGTATTCCAGAGGTTCTTCAGATAATTCTGCTGCTTTTGCCACCTAGCCTGTTCTCTGGAGCCTTCCTGAGGATAATGGCTTTCACTTAATGACTTTGTATTCCCGCCCTGTACCACTCACCTGTATCCTTCTTGTGTGCTATTTTCATTTCTGCAGCCTGGACAGCTGAGAGCAAAAAAGGATCAGGTTTTTATGTGTAGGTTGATTTTCTATTACCATTGTTTATTAAGATTTTCATGTTTCTAAGAGTGATGATGGAGCCTCCCTTGCACCCTTCTTCATTCTGGCCCCAGAAGTACTCGACATGCATTTTATTTATTTATTTGTAGATTTTGTTATTTTAGTAAGGATTTTTCTGTGTCTCTATTTAAGCTAGACTAGGAATGTAGTCGCAAATGAGAAAGGGTAAGTAGAACGTCTAAGAGAAAAGAAAAGGAAGAAGGAAGAAAGGGAAGAAGGAAATTGAAGGAGATGAGAAGCTATAATAATTGGATGAACTTCTATGAACATTTTTTTGTGATTTGTACCTAAAGACAGGCTTAAATAAAGATTTCACAGTGATTGAATCTTTCCAGTTTCTCTACTATAAGAAGCATTCAAAATAAAATTCCCTGTAATCTGCCTTCTATCTCTACCACATGATTGAAATCGTCTCCCTCCACTGTCACTGTGACTTACTTCTTACCAAACCTAACAATCCGTAGCCATCTTCATTCTCTTTCATCTTTCTGCAGGAACTGACTGGCTTGAAAACTGGCTCTTACCCTTAAAGTTTCTCTTCTCCTGGCTTTAGACATAGCACACTCTCCTGGATGGACCTTCTCTTATTTCTCGTGAGCCAGATCAAAGTGTCCAAGGGGATATGGCTTCATCCCAAGTGGAGCTGATAGCCAAGGATCCACAGGTTTGTGGATGAGGGTGGTTCATTGCAGTAAGCTCTGACTTTCATTATTTATCTTTAAAACTGCGTATCCTGAGTAAGGAGAGAGGAGATCTCTGACTTGAAGGAGGACCTTAGTCAATAGTCCATTCATCAGTGAGAAGGGACTGAATATAGGCAAGGTAACAGGCTGGGGCTTCAGCCAGGTGGACTAAGAATAGGGTAATATCAGGGTAGCATTTCAACCCCAGAAGGGAAGTGAAGTGAGAAGCAGGAATTGGGACAGAAACCATGCATACAGACTGGGCACCTGGCAAGGCTGGTTTGATGACTGTATAGAGGCCTGGGATTCTTACCTTTGGTGAATCAGATAAGCCAAGGTATTCTAGATGCTCTCTAACAGCTCCCCCTACACTCTTAACCCCCTTTTTTGGTGAGGGTGAAATTTCTGTTACCTCTCTTATCTTTCCAAGATTGACTCAGGTACTAAGTAGGACTGGTCCTGCAGGTTGTTGATTTAGTACAAGTAAGTGTGTGGGACTCTCTGTATCTCTTGTCTCCTGTGCCTAGTCCTGGGTTGCCTATGTTCTTCTTTTCCTTTGCTTTATGCTCCCTATCAGGAAGCTCACCTCTCCTCTGCCTCCAACCTTGATGATTCACTTGGGTTCCGGTCTGATTTTTTTCGGTCCCTCCATTTAGATGTACCACCGTCCTTAGTTCAGATTCATCATGCTTTATTGGCACTATCATTTCCCTGTTTCCTGGACCTGAAGCTTTGGAATCATCTTGAGCTTATTCTCCCTTATCTTTTTTTCTTCACTTGACTCATCATGTAATGCTGGACTACTGAAGTAAAAACCGACTTAGTCTCTTCTCCCAATCTTTTCTATGTTGAATATAATATATATGGAAAATTTTTAGCCGGGGTGGTGACACACACCTGTAATCCCAGCTACTTGGGAGGCTGAGGCATGAGAATTGTGTGAACCCGGGAGATGGAGGTTGCAGTGAGCTGAGATTGCACCACTGCACTGCAGCCTGGGTGACAGAGTGAGACTGTCTCAAATTAATAATAATGATAATATATGAAAAATTGATAGTAAGGAAGATTTCTAAAAAAAAATAGAAGGGCAAAGCCTGGGCACAGTGGCTCACGCCTGTAATCCAAGCACTTTGGAGGCCAAGGCGAGCAGATTCACCTGAGGTCGGGAGTTCAAGACCAGCCTGACCAACATGGTGAAACCCCTTTTTAA